ACCCCAAGAATTTAAAAAATATATCAAGGTAAAAGTTTTTGGTACATAATACTTAACAATACCTTATTTTTTTTTTTTAAAAGTCAAGCTAAAAATTTTTAAAAAATAAAATTTTTAATTTAAAAAAAAAACCCAAAATTTAGAACAGAAGAGTTTTACCAAGTTAAGCATAAAAGGGTTAAAAGAGAAATTTTAAAGGGAGATAAAACACAAAAAATTTAGATAATTTTGATTCAGTTTTAAAAAACTTGCAGATACATTAATATTACTTTTTTTGACCCTTAAAATGAACCCAAACAAGCAAATTTACAATTTTCCATTAAATTAACAAAAGAAATTTTACTCTGATGTTTTAAGAACAGACCAATTTTTTTTTAAAATTTTCCATTCTTTTTTAACAAAATAGTTTTAAGACTTTTAATTTCTTTTTTTGCATTGTCCAAATTCCCACATGTTTTTTTTTGCTAAAAACCTATTCTTTTTAAAAACAATTGTTTTAAATTAATATTAGTTTCAAATAATTAGCATAAAAACATCTTTTATATAAAGTCTAATACAAAAAATATAAAAACTTAAAGTGAGTTGTTTGGGAAATTTTCGCAATTTTTGGGATATTATGAGTTAGTGAACACAGAAATTTTTTTATCATCCCTTTATTTCATAAAGAAAGTTAACATTTAAACAAATTGACAAATTCATGTTTGGATAAATTTACCAATACAAATATTTTATAAATAAAGTAATTGTATTTGTTAAGCAAAATCTGTGTAAAAAAAATTTAATGTACAATATATTTACATGTACATAATGTACATTATCTTTCATTTTTATCGAGTAACCTTATCCAAATGAATAATTTCATGTAATGATTATATAAATGCTTGATTTATAACAATTTATCATTGTTAAATGTTAAGAACATAACAGTATTTTTTTTCACTTAGATGTTGTACCGACATTTCCCTATCTTAACACACCATTTGATTTTCATTTAATGATCAAATTCTTTCAATTCATACAGTTAAGTCACTAGCCCATTCATTGCTTTTTCAGAGATCAAATTGCACCTTTACATCAACTTTGATAGCCTCTGTCATCACTTGTAAAAATGGGGCTAAAATAATAAAATTAGTAGATTAAAATTATTGTCACATTTAATCAATATTATTCTGATTCATTAAGCATTTGAAAAAAAAAAGCAACACTAATTCAGGTATTCAACCAGTTTTAACAGAAAAAAATTAATTGAAAAATATGTTAACTGAATAAGTTGTAGTACCCAATAATTTTTTTTCAAGAAAAACAATTAGGCACATTTTTTTTTATTTTATTTTTTGGTTTTACTCCACAAGTATAGGCCATAAGGGTGGCTTTCAGTTTTCTGGGATGGAAGACCTAACGGTACCCTTCTGTGCATTTTTTTCAGGGGCAACAGGCACCTGATAGAACTATCGACGTTTCGTAAGACTAGCTGGAAAACTTTCTCATATAAAAGAAATTCAAAGTCCCTGGTGTGGCTCCAACATAATTGGCTGAAGATTACCATTCTTTGAAATCTAAAACTAAGAGACAAATAACACGAAAAAGGAAGTCAGCTGTTTGACTGAGATAGGTGGACAACTATTTGTGTATCACAGTAATTTGTAGTAAATTTCTAAATAAAGCTTAAAGTTGTTATAGCATGCTAGCAGCATAACATAGAGTGGGCTTAGAAATAAAGAACAATAATCGATAAGATCCTACTTCTCGGCATCATGGTTCCGCCGTATCATGATGATGTAAACTCATCATCTCGAAATTTCTTTTAATGTCTGAAAAAAAGAAAACTATAATCACATTATTGTAAAACAAGTTAAATTTTAAATCTAGCACTAGTAAAAATTCAAATGATAAAAGTTGCCATTTCACATTCTTGAATTGGATTGAGTTTTGATTTAATTAATTAAAAAGTTGCCATATGACCTTTAAAATAGATGTTCCATACGACTTTTTATCAAAGATATGATGAAAATGAATTTTTACAAAAGGTCAAAGTTTATAAAAATTAAACTTTATTGGTTTTTTTCCCCTGTTGGGGGGGGGGGGGGATTTGTGTTACAGACCAAACTAGGCGCAATTGTCGCCACTTCACTACACAATCAAATAAGCTTTACTGTGACGCCTTGACTTAATGACCTTAAAATGAATAGAGGTCATATTACTGGTAATGTGTAATATTTTAAAAAGTTCAATAAACATAAGCTTATTCGCTTTGAATTATTATTGGAAAGCGATTTTACATTAAAGTGTCATTGTGACCTTGACCTTTGAATCTAATGACACAAATACGACAAAAATCTACAAGACATAGGCAATCTCTCTGCAGTAAATATCACAATGTTTCAATTACTTGCTCAGTTTACTGATCAGAAAGATACAGGGTTTAGTAGACGGACCCAACTCTTTACAGTTTGCTTCCCACTTTTTAAGTGGGGGCATTTATTAGCAGGTGAATAATTGTATTTTACTAATGCATTAATATAAATAAATACACAACATGAACATTATCTTTTCAACAGTAAATGCTACTGTCTCATATCACACATTTAACAACAACAAAAATTCTTAACATCTTTGGCAGTTAATTCTAAACCTCAATTTAGAAAATCTATATAGAAGCAATTAAACATCACTGGAAGCACTTTAAAAGCAATATATTATCTGAACAAAAGAAGCACTGTGATTGCCTTGTCTGGCAGCTTTTACCTTAAGTAATTCTTTGTGTTTCTCTGGATCATCCTCCATTAGTTCTCTTATCTGACTGTAAACAACAAAAATAACACTGTAATCTAATCTATTACAATACCAACCTAGACAATATAATGCTGTGTTAGTTTCATCCAGGGAGTAATTTGTTGAAATTGCTACTTGTTTAAGTATGTTACAGATTCCACCATAAAGTTCAATTAAGCAAATATAACTAAATTATAAAGAGCTTTACACCACTGAAATAACATGTGTTGTGTTTCTCACAATATTGGTATCACAAAAACAGTTTCTTAATGTTTATATGTCATGTTTGATAGCAACTTACACGACAAATCAAGAGACATCTGTTATCAGTTCAAGAAATTAATTAAATAATGATTAGTGAGTGAACCAGTGAAGATGGAACAACAGTTCTAAGTCTTATAAATACTTTGACCTTAACATTTCGACCAGATACGTCTATAGGGATTACATGTGCAGACCAGAGACAGGTAGCTTAATTTAAACACTATTTACCATAAGACAAAACAATATTCTATAATCATTGTCACCTTTACCTAGTTTTTTTTTATTTCTTAACCCCTAAGCAAAGGTCAGTTGCATCAGACAATAAAGCAGTCATTTTTTTAAATTGAAGAACTAAATACCAAAGCATTTCAAGTGAAAAATCTTATTTCATATATTACAAATTGTGAATGTTGAGCCTGTCCATGTCGTGAAAATTTGCATTTAGCAGACTATGTTACTAAGTAAGTCTCAATCCAGCTGTCAGACCATATGGTTTTTTTACAAAACCGATACCGCTTAAGTTTAATGTAAATATTCCAGAAATTAAATGAATGAAGCAAAATTCAAACAATTAAATAGAATTAGGCAGTGTTAGAATTCAAGACTTTCAAATTTTATCAGCTTGCATACTTTCTTACCCTTACTTGTTAGCACATTTAATTCTCAATTATTTTAACAGATCACTCATTTTTATATAAATAGTTTTACTCTGCAGAGAATTTTCTGTTATACAGAATACTGCTCTGCATTACCAGGAACAACAAGCTTAAATACTTTTTATTTCAATGTCTGCTAGAATTATCTTAACTTTATGTTGTTTCAAAATAAAAGAGAAAAAAGTTGCTGAATAAGACAAATGAATAAGACATGTTTGATAAGAAAATTAATAATTCATTAAAATATACGCACACTTAATTATTATCTCAAACCAGGCAACTTGCCTCCATATAACACCAAATCATAATGAAATAATGTGCTATCAAGGCATACTAATATCATTTTTTTATACAATTATTTTTTTCTGCCTATAAAACAGTGAACCGGGCTTGGACTAAGTTCTTAGGTCTGATCACATTAATGTACTCATAGATAATGTTTAATTATAAGACTTCTTTATCAATGGTAGAGACACTTAATTCATAAATTATTATCAGCACCACCAGCACAATGGAGATAAAGAAAACACAATATTTTTGTGGAAAACTAAATGCCCTGAGATTTATATATTATTTAGTATGTAGCATACTGGATGAAAACTAATGACAAAGTAACATAATTATAAAGTGTTTGTATTTCAGGAGCTGGGTCTGCATTGCTTGGTAAAGAGGGAGCTATGGCGTGTACAGTAGCTGTGGAGTCTGTAATTGGTCAACATTATAATGAGTGAGCAAATACCCTAATATAATTTTTATGATATTTGTGAATATTAATTTTTTATATGTTTTTATTTTCAATTAACGGCTAAGTATATAAAAATTTGAAACTTGACTTGAAATTAAATAAATGTTCAATTTTAACATTTTACAAAAAAAAATTGCAAAATAAAAAAATGATATTTTGGTAGGAATTGAAATGTTTTTACATCCAGTAACACTCAATAGAATGTTTTATCTCTCTAAAAAATGCATTATTGTATAAGATAGTAGTAATGAGAAAACTTGATTAATAAATATGTGAAACCTGTACCAATAAATCATTGTTTCCTCTCCTTAAAAGATATACCTGGTATGTTTATTTAGCTAGTTAAGAGATAAGTTCATCCACTTTGGTATTTCCTGTATGATTAATGTGTCTACCATTGATAAAGAAGTCTTATAATTAACATTATCTATGAGTACATTAATGTGATCAGACCTAAAACTTCCTGTTTTATTAATGGTCCCCGGTTCACTGTTTTTATAGTGCAGAAAACAGATAATTGGTATAAAATATGATATTAAATATTCCCTTGAAATTGCATTATTTCATAAATGATTTGGTGTTATATGGAGGGCAAGTTTTCCTGGTTTGAGATAATAATTAAGTGGTGCTGTATTTTAATGAATTATTAATTGTTCTTATCAACATGTCTTATTCATTTGTCTGTATTCAGCAACTTTTTTTCTTCTTTGTTATTTTGAAACAAGACATAAAGTTTAAGAATAATTCTAGCAGACATGAAATAAAGTATTTAAGCTTGTTTGTTTCCTGGTAATTGCAAGCAGTATTCTATAACAGAAAATTCTTCTTGCAAGAGTAAACTTATATTATATAATAATGAGTGTATACTGTTTAAAAGTAATTTAGAATTAAATTGTGCTAACAAGTAGGGTAAGAAAGTATGCAAGCTGATAAAATTTGAAAGTCTTGAATTCTAACACTGCTTAATTTCTATTTAATTGGTTTGAATTTTGCTTCATTCATTTAATTTCTGGAATATTTACATTAAACTTAAGTGGTATCGGTGTAAAAAAACCATATGGTCTGACAGCTGATGAGACTATACTAGTAACATAGGTCTGCTAAATTCAAATTTTCACGACATGGACAGGGCTCAACATTTCACATATTTGTATATATTATGAAATGAGATTTTTCACTTGAAATGCTTTGGTATTTAGTTCTTCAATTTAAAAAAATGACTGCTTTATTGTCTGATGCAACTGACCTTTGCTTAGGGGTTAAGAAATAAAAAAACTAGGTAAAGGTGACAATGATTATAGAATATTGTTTTGTTTTATGGTAAATAGTGTTTGAATTAAGCTACCTGTCTCTGGTCTGCACATGTAATCCCTATAGACGTATCTGGTCGAAATGTTAAGGTCAAAGTATTTATAAGACTTAGAGCTGTTGTTCCATCTTCACTGGTTCACTCACTAATCATTATTTAATTAATTTCTTGAACTGATAACAGATATCTCTTGATTTGTGGTGTAAGTTGCTATCAAACATGACATGATCCATAAACATTAAGAAACTGTTTTTGTGATACCAATATTGTGAGAAACACAACACATGTTATTTCAGTGGTGTAAAGCTCTTTATAATTTAGTTATATTTGCTTAATTGAACTTTATGGTGGAATCTGTAACATACTTAAACAAGTAGCAATTTCAACAAATTACTCCCTGGATGAAACTTACACAGCATTATATTGTCTAGGTTGGTATTGTAATAGATTAGATTACAGTGTTATTTGTGTTGTTTACAGTCAGATAAGAGAACTAATGGAGGATGATCCAGAGAAACACAAAGAATTACTTAAGGTAAAAGCTGCCAGACAAAGCAATCACAGTGCTTCTTTTGTTCAGATAATATATTGCTTTTAAAGTGCTTCCAGTGACGTTTAATTGCTTCTATATAGATTTTCTAAATTGAGGTTTAGAATTAACTGCCAAAGATGTTAAGAATTTTTGTTGTTGTTAAATGTGTGATATGAGACAGTAGCATTTACTGTTGAAAAGATAACGTTCATGTCATGCATTTATTTATTTATATTAATGCATTAGTAAAATACAATTCTTCACCTGCTAATAAATGCCCCCACTTAAAAAGTGGGAAGCAAACTGTAAAGAGGTGGTCCGTCTACTAAACCCTGTGATCCTTGTCTGATCAGTAACTTGAGAAGGTATGAACATTGTGATATGTTACTTGGCAGAGAGATTGCCTATGTCCTGTATTTATCTTTTGGTTATTAAGTGAAAGGTCAAGGTCACAATGACCCTTTTATGTAAAATCCTTGTCCAATCAATAATTTCAAAGGAATAAGCTTATGTTTATTGAACTTTTTAAAAATATTACACATTACCAGTATATGACCTCTATTCATTTTAAGGGTCATTAAGTCAAGGTCACAGTAAAGCTTTATTTGAAAGCCTTGTGTGGTGAAGTGGGGACATATGTGCCTAGTTTGGTCTGTAACACAAATCCCCTCCCCAAACAGGGAAAAAAACAATAAAGTTTAATTTTTATAAACTTTTACCTTTTGTTAAAACTTTATTTTCATCATATCTTTGATAAAAAATCATATGGAACATCTATTTTTAAGGTCATATGGCAACTTTTTAATTAATTAAATCAAAACTCAATCCAATTCAAAAATGTGAAATAGCAACGTTTATCACCTGAATTTTTACTAGTGCATGAGTTTTAAAACTTGACTTAAACAATTGTCAATGTTTTACAATGCTTTGATTATAATTTTCTTGTTTTTTTCAGACATTAAAAGAATTTCGAGATGATGAGTTACATCATCATGATACTGGGCTGGAACATGATGCAGAGAAGGTTAGGGATCTTATCGATTATTGTTCTTTATTTCTAAGCCACTCTATGTTATGCTGCTAGCGTGCTATAACAACTTTAAAGCTTTATTTAGGAAATTACTACAAATTACTGTGATACACAAATAGGTTGTCCACCTATCTTAGTCAGAACACTGACTTTCCTTTTTCGTGTATTTTGTCTTTTAGTTTTATATTTTCAAAGAATGTGTAATCTCATGCCAATATGTTGGAGCCACACCAGGGACTTTGAATTCTTTTATATGAGAAAGTTTTCCAGCTAGCTTACGAAACGTCGATAGTTCTACTCAGGTGCCTGTTTGTGCCTGAAATAGTGCACAGAAGGGCACCTAATGTCTTCTTCCACCAGAAAAGCTGGAAAGCCACCTTATGGCCTATACTGTGGAGTAAAACCAAGTAATAAAATGTGGCCTTATGTGCTTTTCTTGAAAAGAAATTATTTCGTACTATGACTTATTCAGTCAACATATTTTTCAATTATTTTCTTTCTGAATACCTGAATTAGTGTTGCTTATTTTTTTCAAATGCTTAATAAATCAGAATAATATTGATTATGTGACAATAGTTTTAGATGTACTAATTTGTTATTTTAGGCGCCATTTTACAATGTGATGACAGAGGCTATCAAAGTTGGATGTAAAGGTGCAATTTGGATCTCTGAAAAGATATGAATGTGGCTAGTGACTTTAACTGTATGAATTGAAAGAATTGTATCATTAAATGACATCAAATGGTGTGTTAAGATAGGAAATGTCGGTATTCAACATCTAAGTGAAATAAAATTACTGTTATGTTCTAACATTTAACAATGAATAAATTGTTATAAATCAAGCATATATAATCAAGTACTTGAACTTTTCATTTGGATAAGGTGTACTCTGATAAAAATGAAAGATAATGTACATATATGTACATGTAATATATGTACATTACCTTTTTCTCAGATTTTGCTTAACAAATACATGTACTTTATTTATAAAATATTATTGTATTGGTAAATTTATCCATCATGAATTTGTCAATATGTTAACTGTTAACTTTCTTTATGAAATAAAGCATGATAAAAAGTTTCTGTGTTCACTAACTCATAATCATCAAATATTGCGATTTACAAGACAACTCACTGAAGTTTTCATATTTGTGCTATTTAGACTTTATGACTAAATGTATGTCTTTTATGCCAACATGTATTTGAAACTAATATATTTTAAGACAATTGTTTTAATGACATAGTTATTTAGCAAATAAATAAACATGTGTAATTCTGGACACATGCAAAAGAGCATTATAGTCTAATCTATTTTGTCTAAAAAAAGAATGGATTTCAACAAATAAATTGAGTCTGTTCTTAGAACATCAGAGTAAATTACCTTCTGCTTAATGAATGGAAACTTGTAAATTGTCTGTGTTTGGAATTCATTTTAAGCTCAAAATAGTAATATTCAATGTATCTGCAAGTTTTGAAAGACTGAATCCAAAAGTTATCTCACAATTTATGTGTCTATCTCCCTTGAATAATTACTACTTTTAACCTTTTCACTGCTTAACTTGTGTAATTAACTCTTCT